TATGTATAGCGAAGGAAATGCCTTTATGCATTTCAGACTGGTGTTTTGTCTGGGTATGTCGGACTCAATACCGCCCTGGTATAATACCGACTAAAACCACTGCTTTGCCCTTGCCTATGGTCCCCACGGAAACCGCCGTTAGGCATTACTTTATGGGGGGAGGATCTAAAATGTTATAATTCTTAACTTGATTTTTTATTTAAATATGTGTGTGTATGTATGTATGGATACAATTTTTCGGTCACGTTTTCGGGCGCACAGATCAACCGATTTAAATCGCTCAAAAAACATTCGATTCCTATTGATAGGAAGAGATAGCTGATTAGTTTTTGGCAAAGGCAGGTCCAGCAGTTACGGAGATAAAGAGCAAAGAGTGCAGAAAATAGAAATCGAGTTTTTGAGAAAACGGAGCATCCGATTTGAATGATTTAAAAAACATTCAATTAGTAATGATTGGGAGAAGTTTTTATTAGTTTTTGGCAAAGGCAAGCCCGGCCATTTCGAAGATACGGAGCTAAATGTCCAAAAAATGGCAGTTTTTGAGAAAACTAAGCGTCCGATTTAAATAATTCAAAGAACTTTCTGCTTGTCTTAATAAAATAATTGATTTTGGAAAAAAAAAATTGTTTCAACTTTATTTTTCAATTTTTTTTTTCAAAAAAAAATTTTTTGTATATCGAAAATAATTCAGATTTTTTAAAATTCTGACTATAGTTCTTTGCAATTCAATTTATATAATTCTTATAAATATTAGACAATGTTACAATATTTATGATAATCTATTTGAAAACATTCAGTATTCCTCGAACATTTCGTTACAGCAATTTGCCTTAAGGCACGATGCCATACACCCCACTAGTTTAATTTTTATTTGAACAGTAAATATTACTAACAAATTATGGGCATAAAATTTTGTAAACTTTAGAATCAAATATATAAAGTCACCATCGTTTTAAATTTATTTTTTTATAAGCTTAGTACTAAATGATTGACAATTTTTTTTAAATTTCAACAGTTATAATAAAAATATTATTTTTTTATTATAGAAAAAAAGTAAATGCAACTAAAAATTTTTTAGGCTCAACTCTATATTTAAATTAAAATAAATAAAAATATAATTGAAAATTAGAAAAATCCATGTATTTAGTTTTTATACCAATGCACCACAATGACCTAAAATTAAAACTATATTTCATTTAACTAAACCAATCTCAATCATAATTTTTTATACCACTGGAATTGCCTTCCCTAAAAACTAATCATTTCTTCATACCGTCAACACAAGCTTTTAATTTCCCATATGGTAAGTTATAGTAATCGCAAAAAAAACGATTTTTTTATTTTATTTTCAATAGCAATCAGAATACATGGTCATTCTATGGGCTATTTGGCTTATGTCATTCTCTCGCACACATACACACACATATAAATTAATCTGCTAAATATTACATTGTTAGGGAATACTTCAATAAGTAATTCTACTATTCTGTGCACATGAAGTTACAATAGTTCTAAGGATCCTCCATATTATCTTTGGGCAGTTTCTTCTTCAGTCTTCTTGAAGTTGGTGTCTCAAGAAGCTGAGTGACTATATAATTTGTATGATGTTCCAGTTTATGATTTTTTTTATATATCTTTACATTTCAAAGGTTTCTGAATATTTTGGCGTACCTTACGTTACCTTGCGTTAGAAAAATGGATTTATGTGTGTATGTGTGTGTGTGTGTGCTGATACAAATTTTCGTCGTCGATTTCGGAAACACGGATCAACCGATTTCAATAATTTAAAAAAACATTCGATTCGTATTGATAAGGAGACGTGCTGATTAGCTTTGGCGGAAGCAGGTCTAGCCGTTCTGAAGATACGGGGCAAAAAGTGCCAAAAACGGTAACTCAGTTTTTAAAAGAGCGGAGCGTCCGATTTTAATAATTCATTAAAATTAATTCATTAAAAACATTTACTTCTATTGACAAGATGAAAAACTGATTAAGTTTTTGGGAAAGCAGGTCCAGCGGTAATGGACTCTCAATAAAAATAAGTTTAAAAAATGTCATTTGGCAGTCAAAAATGTTTATTGGACTTATGCACATCAAATTATCAGATATTTTATAGAGATTTTCATAATGTGTGCACATTTTGTGCATTTTTTTTGGGTTTTGTACCAAGATTTTTAATTACGGTGCGGGAAGTTCCAGCAATTTGCTTTGAGGCACGATGCCATGCACCTCACTAGTATATCTTTACGTTTCAATAGTTTCTGAACATTTTAGCATACCTTAGAAAAAATGTATGTATGTGTGTGTGTGTGTGTGTTCGGATACAATTTTTTGTAAAAATTTCGTGAACAAGGATCAACCAAAAAACCTTCAATTCCTATTGATAAGGAGACTGCACCTTTGTTAAAAACTAATCAGCACGATTAATTTTTAACAAAGGTGCAGCCATTTCGGAGATACGGGGCCAAAAGCGCGAAAAATGGTATGGTTCTCACAGTTTCTGTGAGAACGGAGCGTCCAATATCAATAATTTAGAAATCATTTTACTTGTATTGACAAAATGAAGAGCTGATTAAATTTTTGGAAAGGTCCGTCTAGCGGTTTCGAAGATCCAATGCAAAAAGTAAAAAAAAAGCTATTTGGCATATGCACATCATATAATCAGATATTTTATACGGATGTTAATAATAAGTACAAATTTTGTTTACATTTCTACGGGTGTTTTGCATTTTTACGCACTTCAATATTTCATCTCAAAAAAGTTCTAAAAAAAGTTCAAAATTTTCAATAATTTGAACATATTTCGAATTTTTAAAAAAAAATCACAATTTAAGAAATTTGTAAGTTTTCAAAAAAATTTATTTTTGATACGGAAAGTTTCAGCAATTTTCCTTAAAGGCTCGACGCCCATGCTTCACTAGTTGAACCATTATTCTAATCGCATTCTCTCAAATATGCATGACCATTTTTTGCTATCTTGGCTTTATACCTCCGAAACGGATCACCACTCTTCACCGACAGTACGAACAAAATACTTTTTAAATCATTTGAATCGGTTGATCCATACTGTTAAAAATGTCAAGAATATTGTTTTTTTTTAACAATTGTTTGAACTATTTAAATAAAGTTTATTATAATATCAATTATAAATTTTGATACAAAACCTAAAAAAGTGGAAACAAAATTTGTACTTATTATCATAATCTCTATACAATATCTGATAATTTAAAATGTATATGAGTTATGTTCAATTTTGACCGCCAAATGCCACTTTTTTTTAACTTTATTACTATATCTCCAAAAACGCTGGACCTACCATCCGAAATTATAATAAATTATTCATTCAGTAAAATGGTTCTTCAATCATTCTGGATGCTCGGTTTTCTCAAAAAACGGAATTGACATTTTTTGCACTATTTGCTCCGTATCTCCGATTAAGGTTTATGATATTTGTATAAATATGCGATTGTGTATAGGAATGAAATCGCATTATGTATATGTATAACGATTTGTAATGTATTATTTGAATTTAATACATGCTTTTATTTCAGGGTTTTTTGCAGCTAATAAGTGAATGGAATCCGGAATTATATAATACTTCAGCAGTAGTGTCAGCGGTGTTAGAGCATTTACTAATTTGCAAAAAAGATAATGTTGATAATACAATTTTGCTTGAAGCATTGGCTGTTCTTTATTCACACGAGAAAAAATATGATAAAGCTTTATCCATGTATCTCACGTGAGTGTTTTATGCCTTATTCTCTCTATCTTTCACTATATATATATATATATATATATATATATATATATATATATATATATATATATATATATATATATATATATATATATAAATAAATATTGTGTGTTTCTTTTCCGAACAGTAAATCCATTAATAAAAAACAATTTGTTTTTTTTTTGAAGATGTTTAATGACAACGTTTTGGAACTAGATACGTCCCATCATCAGGTTTATTCTGTCAAAGACAATGTTTTTTATGAACTATTGACTAATATTATTTAATGATGGTTATTACAGATTATTTAGAAAAATTATAAAGGAATAGATTTGCACCTGTAATAATTTATATATCCATATCACTAATATTTTGTTAAAAACACTCGTTTTTTATATTATTTAATACACAAAACTAATTAATTTCCTATAAATAAATACTCACCACGTATTTTCGTAAAAATTGAAATAGCTTATAGGCAATAGCCAAATATCATGATTGATGCAAGCTTTTCGATTTTATGAATGAATCATGGTTGCGCATTATGTGTGCTATCTATTGTTTAATTTAGATACTTTATCAGTTCGACACGTATAAGTTCATCATCATTATAAATCATATTTCATTAAACAAAAACAAAATAGAATATTTAATATTTATTAAAACAATTAATATGATCCTTTAAAATATTCAATATTTATATTTTATTCAATTTTTGAATATTTTATTGGATTACATAGGCTCATAGAAATTCGTATTTATGATTGTCTATAATAAATAAATAAAGAAAATAAACAAAAAAAATAAATTGAATATTTCAACTTGTATTGAATATTGTAAACTTGTATTAACTTTAAATTGCTCGAAATGAAAAATACTCTTCTTTTCTTTTGTTTAGTTTTTTTATCTAAAATTGACTTAAATAAGTGTGTTTTATTGTTTCTATTTTTACAAAAATTTAATAAATCGTTATACGTAATTACGGCTGGTCTTTATAAACTGATTGCCACAGCTGCGCTGAAAACATATTGCGCTTGGAAACTACTTGTAATAAAAGCTTTATTAGCAATTAATATTTTTTTGCATCATTTGTAGAATAAAGCATAAAGAAGTATTCGACTTGATTCGAAAATATGATCTATACGATCACATCGTTGACAAGATTCCAACGCTAATGAATGTGGATGTCGATCATGCTTTAACACTGCTGATGGAACGAAAGATACCGTCGGAAGCAGTCGTTGCGAATTTACAAACACATCAGGAGTACTTATATTTGGTATTATTTTTGATTTTCTAAATAGCACTTATATTCTTGGTATTATTTCCGAATATGCAAATAGCACTATTGTGCTTGTTTTTTTTCATATTTTTTCTAAAGCAATTTAAACTTTTTAGAACTATAATGAAAGTTACATGAAGTTATGAAAATGTTACATTTAATCATCTATTATCACTTCCTAATATTAATTTTCACTGAAAAATAATAAGTTGGATTTGGCTCGCAATTCAATGGGTGGCTTTGTGCTTGTTAGTTTTCTACTTCCAATATAGTTCATAAGTGATTTTTGGAGTATTTTTTTTAAATAGCACATTATTAACCATATTTTGCTGTGATTTTAGTAATTATGTATCTCAGGTTTACTGTTCTGGGATTTTGATGAAACTTCGCATGGTGTAAAGTGAAATCGAATAGCTTAAAATATTATAGGACTATGAGAAGTGTTTTAATTATCAAAATTACTTAATTTTAGCTTTGCTCAGTCAGTTCAAGCTCTTGCTTCCACTTTTTGCGTTCGAATTCATAGATAAGAAAGTTAATTAGTTAAACATGATCGGGTTCAAACCACAGGATTATACGTATTAACATCGGATATTGTGTTTTGTCAATTAGCATGAGAGCTTGGGTTTGCTACGTGATTGTGAGTCTTCTGAGTAGTTGAAACATGTCATCAGTGCCCGTGAGGCCCGGGCCTAGGGTGGCACAATTTAGGGGCGGCAAATTTTTCAGAATGTCAAAGTTTTAAACACGATAACATGAAACACGACAATTCATTTTAAGAATGGATCCTGAACTTTTTTGTAAATTTAGAGATCATTTTTTATGAAATAGAACGTAATACGTTTACTAATCAAATTTATTATTCGTGGGTGCCGCATTGATATTTTCTTGATGTATCATATTTAATACAATAATTATCAGACTGATAAGCTTTTTTGGAGAAATATTGAAAAGCTATTCGTTTTTTGCAATTTTGTTAAAGTAAATCTTATATATAAAACGCTTTAAAAATTGTTCGATGGTTTCTTATTTTATTTTCTGTATAAAATCAAACCATGGCGAATTAATATAATATATTAATTGTTGTTCATTAATTTATTATGTTAAAATTCATTTCTTGTTTGTATATGAAAATATATTTTTTTAAATAACCTGTAGGATAAAATTGAATCCTAAACAGTATCTGACAATTTGGTATGCTTCCTGCAATTGGTATTTTTTTCAACTTCAGGAAGGCTAAGTTATAATAATCCCAAAAAATCGTAAATAAAATTGTTTATATATCTCTACGCTTCAAGATCTCCTGAACATTTTGACATACCTTAGAAAAAATGGATGTATACATGTGTTTGTGCGGTTACAATTTTTTGCCAATTGACATTCGATTTATAATATCGCGAAGACGCGCTTTTTTTGCAAAGTTATTTTGCAAAGACAGTCTCATCCATTTCGGTATAAGGGGCAAAAAGGTAAAAAATGCCAATTCAATTTTTCAAAAGGAGTGTCCGATTTGAATAATTCAAGACACATTTCACTTGTATGACGAAATAAAGAACTATCGAAAATTTTGTGAGAGCGTCATTTGGTGGTAAAAAAATGATTATCGGACAATATGCATATCAAATTGAATATGAAAACTGTTTTTCATAATCTCTCATACCAGGCACCTCTGCCTGACTGAGATATGAAAATAATGTATATATATATATATATATTAATTTGGAAATATGAACAAACAACACTCTTTTTGCACTAATTTATTAAATAATAATTTTGACAAACGTTTCGAGACTAGGTTTGTCTCATCATCAGTGTGTTATAATTAAAAAAATTTTAAAATATGGAAATCTAAATTAGCATGTTGTGTTTTTCATTACACGTCGTTCACTGCACGTTGTTCTTTTAATACCAATGTCTTCGGTATTCGTATTCTCTCCTACTTGAAACCACTTGAAATTGTAAAGTCACTCAATCAGATAGGAAAAAAAGGATTAGGTTCCAGTTGAAAAATAGATGTCGTTAGGAGAAAAAATATTCTATGATGAGATGGTTTGTTTATAAGATTTGTTATACATTGTTGTAATTAAAAGTGTATGTACATCTATATATAAGCTACAAAGTATGAATGAGATTCAGGTATGTATCATGTAATATATTGGTATCTGTCCGTAAATTTACTGTGTTACTTGTATGGGCTATTAACATCGATTCTGCAATACTTCTTTTAAATAAATCTTGTTCATAATATAAAATGAGTGGATTATTGAAATCGAAACTATGGCTGTTAGAGATAGCGTGGTCTACAAGTGTACTTTTTTGTTGAATGTTATTATTCTTACTTTGTTTGCTTTGTAATTCGTGCTGTCTTAATCTTTTTTCTAAATTTTGGCATGTTTGCCCAATATAAGATGACTCACAGTTCAAACAGTTTATTTTGTATACCACATCTTTTCTTTTTTAATAGGTGTATTGTCTTTAATGTTTGTGTATATGTCTTGCAGTTGTAGTAAGGGTGACACGGATATGTTAATATTATGTTTATTAAAAAGCCTTTTAGATAAAAGGTGTAAATCTTTGTCTATATATGGAAAATTCACAAAAGATTTATTTTCTGATACAGACAAGTGATTTGAGCAATGTGTGGTTATTGATTGTTTGTCTAATAAAAATTTAACTCTATTTTTAATTATTGGACTGATTATTTTGTAAGGGAAACTATTCATGAGTAATGTGTTAATGACTAATTTGATATTGTGATTATGAAATTTTGGGTTAGATAAAAGAATTGCATGGTCTACTAAACTGAGAACTGTGGATATCTTTATATTGAGAGGTGTAAAAGAATTAAAATTAATATACCTGCCTGACCAGCTATCTTTCCTGAACCAATTGGTAATGCAAATACCGCTGTCGTTAATGAGCTGAACATCAAGAAAATGTATAGAGTTATCTTTTTCTGATTCTTGTGTAAATTGTAAATGAGAATTATAATTATTAAATTTTTGAAATATGTTCTCTATATCATTTTTGTTAATTAATAGAAGCGTGTCATCGACATATCGAAAATATAGTAGTGGTTTGCAAATTGTAGAATTCAACACACTGTTCTCTAAATCTTGTAGTACTAAGTCTGCTAAAACGGGACTTAAAGGACTTCCCATAGGACATCCTCTAATCATAGTATAAAATTTATTATTGAATTGGAAATATGAGGCCTTCAGTAGTAAATCTATTCCAGAAATGAATGTTTCGAGAGGTAGTGAAGTGTATTCAACAATTTGCAACCATCTTCTCCTAATGGCGGTGATAACTAATTTATGTGGAATGTTGCTGAAAAGATTAATAACATCAAAACTAACGAAGGAAAAATTATGAGGGATTTTGAAGTCCTTTACGCGATCTACTAAACTGTATGAATTGTTCAAAAAATATGGCGAATTAATCGTAACATTTTTTAAAATTTTGGAAAAGAATTTAGATAAATTATAATAAGGTGAATCAATGTATGAAACTATAGGTCTGAAAGGGCAGTTAGGTTTATGGATTTTGGGAAGGCAATAGAATTTAGGTACTAGAGGGTGTTGGATTTTTAATTTTAGGGCAATAGAATTGTTGATGTGACCTTTTTTTTCCAAAAGATTGATGTATTTAAAAGCTTGTCTATGGTGGTAATTGTTCGGATCACTCGGTAACTCTTCATACATTGTTTTATCTTCTAAGATGTTCATTGCTTCATTTTCATAATTATTCCTTAACAGAATTACTGAAATATTTCCTTTATCAGCTTTACATAAAATTAATTGGCTATTCTCTTTTAGGAAGGTTTTTGCAGCTTTTATGTCCCGATGAATGTATGCTAGGTTATTTATTGAATTAATGTTTTGTTTATTATTCTTCAAAATCTTCAATAATTTTTGTATGAAAGTGACTCTGATGAAATTTATATCCTTTTCCGTTGGATTCTTAATCAATTTAAGTCCTGCTTCCAGACTACTTATGGTTTTTATTATGTCATTGTATTTTAAATGTTTTTTATGAATGGCAAATTTTGGTCCTAAGGCTAGAATATATTTTATGTTATCTGGTATAATTGTTTCTGTTTTATTAATGAGCCATTTGTTCCAATCTAGTCCTACGTTTAATATTGGATGTAATTTGTCTCTATTTTCTATTAATGGTTGTTCTATTGATGGTTGCAAATTGTTGAATACACTTCACTACCTCTCGAAACATTCATTTCTGGAATAGATTTACTACTGAAGGCCTCATATTTCCAATTCAATAATAAATTTTATACTATGATTAGAGGATGTCCTATGGGAAGTCCTTTAAGTCCCGTTTTAGCAGACTTAGTACTACAAGATTTAGAGAACAGTGTGTTGAATTCTACAATTTGCAAACCACTACTATATTTTCGATATGTCGATGACACGCTTCTATTAATTAACAAAAATGATATAGAGAACATATTTCAAAAATTTAATAATTATAATTCTCATTTACAATTTACACAAGAATCAGAAAAAGATAACTCTATACATTTTCTTGATGTTCAGCTCATTAACGACAGCGGTATTTGCATTACCAATTGGTTCAGGAAAGATAGCTGGTCAGGCAGGTATATTAATTTTAATTCTTTTACACCTCTCAATATAAAGATATCCACAGTTCTCAGTTTAGTAGACCATGCAATTCTTTTATCTAACCCAAAATTTCATAATCACAATATCAAATTAGTCATTAACACATTACTCATGAATAGTTTCCCTTACAAAATAATCAGTCCAATAATTAAAAATAGAGTTAAATTTTTATTAGACAAACAATCAATAACCACACATTGCTCAAATCACTTGTCTGTATCAGAAAATAAATGTTTTGTGAATTTTCCATATATAGACAAAGATTTACACCTTTTATCTAAAAGGCTTTTTAATAAACATAATATTAACATATCCGTGTCACCCTTACTACAACTGCAAGACATATACACAAAC